ATTTTGCAGCAATTGTGTCCAACTTAGCTGAAAACGCAGAGAATTTGTCCTCCATGAAAGCAGCCACTTTTGCAGTGATCTCAGAAGCCAGCATGGCTACATCCAATGCTACGCTCACGTTAGCTTCTTCCACGTTTCCTTCCTTGATAGCTGCCTCGTTATTAGCTTTGCGTCGAGCACCTCTGTGGGATTTCGGTTTTTCTATGTTCTCCATCGCTGTAGCTTGGTCCGTTAGCCGTCTCCCTCAATCTTGGGTCCAAAAACGATAGTTAAATCATACAATTAAGGAAGAATTGTCCGGGAGCTCCTTAGCCTCAGTCCTTTCAGTATGACGTCATCACCGGAAGTCAACTGTGTCAACTCTTACATCAAACCATTTAGATGGTTTATAAATTACAGTTGTGTTTTTATACAGACTTGCACAGGTTTTGAGATTTTGTTTCAGATTTTGTTTTAAAGATTTACCAAATATGTATGAATGCAATATGGTTGAGACGGAAGTCTGTACATTTCACATTTAGTTTGTTTTGAAAATGTAGCAAATATTAGCAATATGGTTAAAAAAAACTGTGAAATTTGTATTTTATTTTGAGTTAAATGTTTATGCAATACAGTAGTCTGTTTACTTTTAATCTGTGATGAACTTGAGACCTGTACAGGGTGTCCCCCGCCTCTCGCACAGTTACTGCTGGATATGGGCACCTGCGATCCGATAAGGAAAAAGCGGGTAAAGATAATCAGTGATGGATGGATGGATTTTGTTTAAAAGATTTACCAAATATATTTGATAAATCTTTTAAACAAAATACATCCATCCGGCCATATTTTAAATATGGATGAAATGCAATATGATTAAGACTGAAGGTTTTTTTTTGTTTGTTCTTAAATGTTTATGCAATATAGTAAGCTGAAGTCTTTGTTTACTTTTGTATTTTGAATTATTTGTGATGGACTGGAGACCTGTCCAGGGTGTACCCCACCTCTCGCACAGTGCTGGATATAGGCACCAGTGACCTCCGGGACTCAATAAGGATGAAACGGGTAAAGATGATGGATGGATGGATGGATGGATGGATAGATTTTGTTTAAAAGATTTACCAAATATATTTATGATAAATCTTTTAAACAAAATCCATCCATACATATTTGAAATATGGACAAATGCAATAACTGTGAAGTTTGTTTTTTTAGTTAAATGTTTATGCAATATAGTTTAATTTTGTATTTTGAATTATTTGTGATGGACTGGACACTGGAGACCTGTCCAGGGTTGTCCCCTGCCTCTCGAACAGTGATAGGCACCAGTGACCTCCGGGACCCGAAAGATGCTGTATTCTATTCATATACCCATGCTCACAATTCAGGCTGCTGTTTTATACTGTATTATTTGACATTATTAGTGTTTACTACGAGCATACATTATTGTTTTAAATAAATGTTTATTTGTTTACATTGTTGTTTAATCTTTTCATCATTTCAACAGAAAATAGTTTCAGAATCGAAAATCGTTTTAGAATCGAAAATCGTTCCCGTGACGAAAATCGTCTCAGAATCGAAAATCGATTTTGAAATCGTTTCGGCACAAAAAATAAATGAATTTTAAAAAAAAAAAAATCGGATCGATTCGCCAGACACAGAGATTCGCACCCCTAGCTCTAATGTTAAAAATCTTGGTGTTATTTTTGATCAGGACATGTCTTTTATCCCCCACATTAAAAACGTTACTAGAACTGCTTTCTTTCATCTGCGTAATATCAATAAAATTATAAACATCTTATCTAAAAATGATGCAGAAAAACTGGTTCATGCATTTGTCACATCTAGACTGGACTATTGCAATGGTTTATTATCTGGGTGTCCAAATACTTCTTTAAAACGTCTTCAATTGATCCAAAATGCTGCTGCAAAAGTCTTAACTGGAGTTAGTAGGAGAGATCATATCTCTCCGGTTTTAGTTTCTCTCCATTGGCTCCCTGTCAAATCCAGAATAGAATTCAAAATCCTACTTCTAGCCTACAAAGCTCTCAACAAACTAGCTCCATCTTATATTACAGATTTTATACTTCCATATTTTCCTAAGAGTACTTCACTCTCAGGCTGCAGGTTTACTTGTGGTTCCGAGAATTTACAACAACAGAATGGGAGGCAGAGCTTTCAATTATCAGGCTCCTCTCTTGTGGAACCAACTTCCAATCTCTGTCCATGAGGCTGACACATTATCCTGTTTTAAAACTAGGCTTAAGACTCTCCTTTTTGCTAAATTCTATAGTTAGGTTGGCTTGGGTTACCTGAGCTGTCCCATAGTTATGCTGCTATAGGCTTAGACTGCTGGAGGACAAACTCACCACATTTTTTTCACTCTGCTACTGTCTTTACTTACTCTGTTCAACCTGTTTTGTATTTGTAATTATTTTTTCTATCCTTAACACGTTTCTGTTGTCTTTCAGGTACACCTGGACCTATATCTGGACCTACCATTCTGTGTTCGTTGGTCTCTCCTTTCTGTCCTCTCAAACCAGCCGATCAAAGCAGATGGCCGCTTGTCCTGAGCCTGGTTCTGCTGGAGGTTACTCCCTTTTAAAAGGGAGTTTTTCCTTTCCACTATTGCCATTGTGCTTGCTCAGGATGGGAGACTGCAACAAAGCCAAGATTCAACTTTTCTGCTGGCCTACTTAGATAGAGAACTTTACTAATTGGCTTTTTTATGTATGTGAATGTTCCTGTAAAGTGCCCTGAGACAACTTTGTTGTGATTTGGCGCTATACAAATAAACTAAATTGAACTGAAATTGGATTTCCCCAGAAAAGATGGCCCAAGTGGCTGGGGAGCGGGAAGTCTGGGCCTCCCTACTTAAGCTGCTACCCCCGCGACCCAACCCCAGATAAGCGGAAGAAAATGGATGGATGGTATGGTATGAAAATGACAAGTGTGGGTCTTCAGATGATTTTCAGCAATTACCAGTAAAATGATTACTAAATGTAAGTTTATGATATTTGAGAAATTTAAAAAAGTAGTCATAATGTAATAAAAAATATATTTTTTAAAGTGAATAAAAATGGTTTATTGTTTGTGTTGACATTATGCTCATGTTTGACAGAGACGTTGATGTGCGTCGGCCGTTGAATGATGATTCAACACAATCTACTGGCTTCTTTCCTTAGATAAATAACTTTACTAATTGACTTTTTATCAGTGAAAGTTTCTGTTCTAACCCTAACCCTGAAACAACTTCTGTTGTGACTTGGCATTATATAAATAAAACTGAATTGAATTAATAGTTGTCACAAATATATTCCACTTGTATTTGTTGGTAGATGGGTAAAAGTTATCTTGATAAAAGTTGATCTAGATAACAATTTTGACCCACCAAATGAATACATTAAAAGATCCATCACTAAATCTCATCTATTCATAACAGGCACCAGTACTATTATATTGTGACCGAGTTTTAAAGCAGTTCCAAAGCAAACGTACTGTAAATCAAATGTGTTCCCAATCCAGTTTTCAACAAGGTTTATCTTCAAATTGTGTTGTTCACCATCAAGAGTGTAGTAACAGAGTGACAATTTCAGAAAATTTAGCAGTTATGAGGTAATTGTGATCTGTAAACTGTTTTTGATGCATCTATAGGTTTTATTTCAAATACACAGTGGTGGGATGTAACTAAGTACAAGGACTTTGTTACTGTACTTAAGAACATTTTTCATGTATCTGTACTTTAATTAAGTAGAGTTCAACGTGGATACTTTGACTTTTACTCCACTAAATTTTACATTAAGTATCTGTGCTTTCTACTACATTACATTTTTATAATACGTTGCATTACACATTACATTCACGTTGCAGTTTTTTTTTTTTTTTTTGTTAGTTGAAAGTAACCAGTGGCAAGAGGGGAATTGGTCCATTGAATCACTGCAAAGTGGGCAGGTAACGTTAGACCCGCTTTCAAGAAGAGCTGGGCCAATGACATATTCTAGTATATACATTATTGAGCTGGTGCACCTGCAGCACCACTAACACACCCAAAATGGGTTCTACTTCTACCACAGAGAGTCAGACAGAAGATACACACCACCCATGGCCATACTGAAAGATTATTGAAAGACTATTCAGTACTGCAGGACAGATTTTCTCTCCCATAAGAGATAGACTGGACTCAAAAAACTTTGAAAACCAACTTCTTCTGAACTTGAACAAGAAATTCTTGCTGTAATATTAAAATGTGTCAGTTCATGGGATGTTAGGACAGGAAACAAGAGATGTCTCCAAACGGCTCGACACTCGGGTCCAAAATATGAAAATGGTGTCAGGAAGTTAAAATACTGTTCATTATTGAACCATTACAAGTTGGACTAGACAGTATTTTTTAACTAGTTGATGACAAACAGGAGTTGAAATGTCAGTTGAAATGATCAGTGCCTATTCCTTTGTTAGGTGTGTCTAATGCTCCTTTTTTCAGGCAGACAACTTTTACTTAAATGTGTTTACTGCGGTTAAAATGACACAATGGTTGTGCTTTGTGTTAAATAAAAACTTTCAAAGGTATAATCATTCCTCCTTCTTATTTTGTTTAATGACATTTAACTCCGCATGTCATCCCTGAAATTCTGACACACAGAATCACAAGTCCAAGTGTGAACGGTGTCACAGGGTAAACACAATAAAACATGTATTATTAGCAGCAATGTTCATTAAAATGGAACAACACTATTACTGTATTACAGAAAATATACATACGGTAGTCACACTTAATGATATTGTAGACCATTGAATTAGGTAATACATTCAGCAAGTACTTTTAATACTTTAAGTATTTTTAAAAGCAAGTACTTACTTACTTTTACTTAAGTAAAACTGTTAATGTGGTACTTCTACTTTTACTGGAATACATTTTTGTCCGTTTATTTGTACGTACTTAAGTAATTAAGTACAGTGTTTGAGTACTTTCTCCATCCCTGCAAATACATTACCTAAAGATGGAACAATATGAATCTGTTTACCTTTGGTTTTGTTCTCTTCTTGGTCTGTGGTGCTGGGCATACTAGACATCATGGTGGCTGAAGATTCATTCTGTAGTAACTTGGACACTCTAACAGCCAGTGAGCTCTCACTGCTCCCATCGCTCAGTTCCTCCTGATCAGCATCCTCATTGACAGAGGAAGAGGAGTGACTCTGTGCAGCAGGGGGTGCAGAACATTCTTCCTCCTCTGAGACCCCCCCTCTGTCTGATGAATCAGAGTTAAGTTGCTGTAGCGTTTTAACTTGAGGCTGTATTGGGATGTTATAAGGGGGTGCTGCACTACAGCCCTCAGGCTCTGTCCGTCCGGCTGATTTGGAGATGGCAAGAGACATCTCTTCACTACCACCTACAGTGCTATCTTGTGGTGTGGTGTATGTTACAGAAGCAGGTGCAGTATTCACAGCTTGTGTGGATGGATTATTGTTGGTTCGTTGAGATGACGTCATACTCTCACGACCAACTGAGGTTTGCCTTGTTTTCTCTGAGGCAAGCACAGAGTCTGATGAAGTCCTTGCCCACAGCAGTGAAGAACGAGTTCTGAGGCCTTCAGCTGTGGAGACGGAGGCAAACAAAGAGTCTTGAATCCTGCTAGATTTGGGATGCAGTGATTTGAAAATGTCTTCATCAGAGAAAGGACGGGTTGGTAAAGCAGCCGAGGAGGTTGCAGAAGACCCACTAGATATGATGTGGTTTGCATGAAAGAGTAGTTTACGGATCTCTGACAAGGCATTGGTGCTGACAAAGGAATTTTCTGCATCTTGAGCCATATTTTGGCTGCTTTGGAAATGTGAATTTGAGTTGCTTGCCTTAAGAGTCAATGAGGTTTCGAGGTCAGACATGTTTGGGAGCTGAATTTCAGCTCGTCTGTAGTCCCATTGTTGCTGGCTGGGTTGCAGTGAGAAAGAACTGAAGCCTTCATTAGGCTGTAAGTCAGGTGCCAGTCTGCCTTCACCATGAATAGCTTCTACATCTGATAGAGAAGTTGTCCTCACTCTGACCAGCTCTGGGATTGATACAGTTCGAGCAAGACTGTCCAGGCTAAACGGTACAGACAAACTGGAGTCCACCGACAAAATACTGGACCTGGAGAATTCTCCTTTCAGGGGACTGCCTCCTGGAAATAAAACAGAGTATTTTAATAAAATCATCTACAGTAGTACTAACCATGATGGATGTCTAATAAAAGATTAAGCAAACCAAACCCATTTTTGTCCCTTGCAAAAGGCAAAACTGTTCTCCAAATTGTTTATGTTATGTTTCAATATATTATAATAACATATTGTTGGAGACTAAATGCAGTTTATAATGGTTAACAAATGTAACTGTATAGTTTTGAGTCCACATGTGGTACACTGAGATTAATTTAAAACGATAAAGGTATAGGTGTGAAATTTAGTTTATTTTTGTAATACTTAAGTGATTAAAATGTAAGCTTTAGTAGATATTTGAGTTATATTATTTTCCAGTAGCTGTGTAAAATTAGGTGTTTTGATGATTACCTGTATTGTGGTGGGTGTGGTTTATTGGTAGGCAATTAGTCAGGCTGTCAGCAGTCAGGTGGAGCCACACAGTTTTTTGACCTCTCTCTCTATGTCCCTATAGTTCCCTTTCTTTAATTTTGTACAAGTTTTGATTTTTGCAACAGAAGTAAAGTGTTCGACTTCATTAAGGACTCAATGGAATTCTTTATGCATGGTGTTAAGGATGAGGAGACGCCTCAGAATGTCAAGCTAGTGGCTTCAATCAATGGAAACCTACACTTGTAATTTAAAAAAAAAACATAACAAGGTCTTTGTTTCACAAAAAGAGAGCTAGAATAAGAATTAGGTCAATTTGGACATAACTTTTTCTAAACTCCACAAAATATTCACAGAAAAACAAGGTGAATGAAACAGGACTTACTCATGAGGTAATATTAATATTAATATAATTATTATTAGTAAAAAATAAATAAAATTTTATCTTGAGCTTTGTTAACAAATATATCCTTTGCAGTGTGTGGTGACCTGAACATGATTTGCTAAGTTTAAACAGGCTTGTGCTAGTTTTTATTCCCCCAAAATACATTTCCCCTTTAAGCTGCATATTCTGTAGTATAAATCATTTTGAGCTTTCATACCCTCACAGGGCTGAGTGCTCTTCAAAGGGGTTCCAATGGATCTTTTAGTTGCACAGAGGTCAGTGAGAGAAAATTCAACTTCTCTAATCGGCCCTCTAGGAGCAAAAGGAGTCAGAATTTTTGAAGGAGTCTGGTCTATTCCAAGGTTTTGAAGATATAGCTGCAAGAAAAACAATACTAATCAGAAAATCAAGTCCACAAAGGTTTGAAATTAGATTACAAGCTGATAAGTAATAATTGTATTTAGAAACAATATTTTGGACAGATATTTTGATGTTAAATGTCAGATTTGCCTTTTACCGGAATTCGTTCATCGATGTTGAGCTCTGGAGACTTTGGAGGAGGTGGTGGGGCTGAGTGTTTCGAAGTCCAGTAGGGAGCATAATTATCAATCTCCAAACTGACAACAGAGGATGTTCCAGCAGAAGCTCTTACTTTAACTCCACTGTAAGTTTCTTGGGAACTTGAAAGTGTCTGATCAAACGACACATCATTGAAGTGGCCGAGGCTCATAAGAGAAGGATGGACTTCAGTGCTGGAATGATGATGATTTGGAGCTTCATCTTGGCTCTGAGTCCACACTTTTACTGGAGGCGTGTCCATCTGTTGAGGTTTATTAACAGACATGATGACTGTGCTTAAAGTGGAGTGGGATTGTGACCTGCCAAAGAGCGAGGGTGGTGCTTCAGACTCCTTGTTATCCTTGTCACAAGGAGAACTGCCCACTGCCTCTCCTCTTCTTGAAGAAGAAGAGCCAGAGGGCGCTGAGGAGGAGCTCTGAGTGGCATTTTGATTGACAGCACATGCAACAGAAGGTTGTTGTAAAGTCCCAGCCTGCTGAGTAAGACTTTTGTTTAAGGGGTTGGATACTGCATGGTGAGATTTATTTTTAGAAGAGATGCCATCAAAATCTTCCAGTGTTGGGCTATCATTCTGTTTTGCACTCAGTGCATCTACTTTTTGTATAAAGTTGAGACGTGGGAGAAACTGGACTTCTGCAGAGGTCTGCAGAGAATCTTTATCATAATGATTAGCTTCATGTGGGAGACGGGCAACAACTTTTGGGACAGCTTGCTGTGAAGTAATTCCTGTGCTCGACTGATAGAAATTCTCTTTATCAGATTCTATGGCTGAAAATTGTCCTAATTTAGCCTTGGTGTTGGACTTCAACTGAGCTATATAAACTGCTGGAGTAGATTGAGACTGTGGACGAAAACCCAAGTAGGACCCATCACTCCATGTTTTGTTCTGTGACAAGACGTTTTGTTCTTTAACCAAATCAGCATCAGGTGAAAATGGTCCCATCCACAGCAAACCATCCAGATTTGCTCTTTCACTCGATTTCCTTTTAGTAACATTTCTGAGGGACGGCATGAACAACTGACAAGATGGTGTCAGAACCATTTGCTGTTTTTTGTTAGATCCAGCTTCTGGTCTACTCGGTTTCTCTGCTTCAGACAGTAGCTGTCTGTTTAACAGCTCACTACTATCATCAGGTTGAGTGCTGCGGAAACCCATGGTTATGTTACTGATCTCTGCTGACAGAGTTCTTGAATCAACTGACTGTTTTGTTGACTTCTGGAAAATAGTAGCTTCCCCTGGAGGACCTTCTCTTTTAACCGAGTTTTCATCTGAGATGAGTTTGCAAACTTTAGTGCTTTTTGACTCATTTGTACTCTTCATGGAGGTCTGAGATTTGGATGAAGAAGCACTGTTACTGCTGCTGCTTCGCAAACTGACTTCTTTCTGTAAAAGGTCCAAAAGATGCTGAGCAGGGACATCTTTTCTCAGAAAGAAAATCTTGTCATCAACAGTGCCACCTGTATACTTATCTGTTTGTGTCTCTGACTTGCTCTCTCTGCTACTTACACCTTCTCCTGACAGTATTACTTGTTCATTTTCAGAAATGGCACTTAAATGAGGCATTTCCTTTATGTTGCTTTTGTTTTCTGATAAACTGTGCTGAGATTCAGTAAAGGACTTATTTGCTTTCTCCTCAGAAATAATTGTTGCCTGAGACAAAGGGTACTGAGACAAAGAGCTATGCTCAGAGGAGTAAGTGGTGCAGTCCTGGAGAGGAAGGCCAAATCTCTCTGATGCCACAGAAACATCAGGATATACCCTAAAAACAATAATAGATGATCATGCTTTTATTCATATTAAAAGTTCTACTTTTCTAGTGACACAATGTAAGTTTGTAAAAAAGTCATATTTTTCTTACCTTAAAGGAGCAAATTCTGAATTACTTTGATTGAAAGAATAATATTCAGTGAAGTTGTGCTCCACTTCAGAGGTTACAGGCAACAGGAAGAGGGCTGGTGACAGGTTACTGTCCTGAAATTCTAATGATACACAGTGGGTTATCCATGAGAATCAATAGCTGAAATGCAACTGGTAAAATAACTTTAAATGGGTAGTTTATTCTTATATGTGAGAGGCCTGTCATCTCAACATTTGTGAGAACTTTTGATTGGCTTCAACCATTGTTTCATTATGTATAACATACCCAGCTGCAAAGCTACTGTTTGTGATTGCTGAAGCTCCCAGTCAGCGATTTCAACCCCGGGCTGCCCCTGCTCCTGGTGAGCACTGCTTTCACGCTGTGCTCCTAGTTGGGTTAAGAGTGTTTCTCCAGCAGGTTGACTCCCATCTTCATCTTTGGACACATGAGGAGGTGTTGTCACCTTCTGTACATGAAGTCACAAAACAAAGTAGCAATAAGTTACCATCTTCCTAAATCAGTTTACTCTGTTTGTTGTGTAATCTTAAAGATGAGAAATGTCAGTTTTCTGAAGGATTAAAACTACCGCTAAGATCAACACTGTAGTTTCCGTAGTTTGTAGAACAGGAAAAAGTTTCACAAACTGATGGTCAAACAGCAGAGTAGATTAAGAAAAAAATTGGTCGGCTGCATCAAGGCAGGGGAGTGGTGGCGCAGAGGTTAGAGAGGTGGGCCTGTGATCCGAAGATCGCAGGTTCACACCCCGGCCCCGACAACATCAAAAATTGTGGGTGGGGTAGGTGAAGCACCCACACTTGCACCCACTCTCATTCGCCCCACTCTGGGCCCATGAGCAAGGCCCTTAACCCCCCATCTGCTCCCTAAACAGGTCTCTCTTGAAAATGAGTTCTCGTGACTCAATGAGACTACCTGTATAAAAAAGGGTAAATGAAAAAATGAGGCAAACCACATTAAAGAAAGTGAATTCTGTCACCTGAGCCTCCACTGTATGGAGACAAGGGTCATACAGTGTTTACACATACATTAGTACGTTCTATATTAAACGTGTTTGGATTTTTTTTTTTGCAATAAATGTAGAAAACTCACATAATCAAATACAGTGTTTCCCCTACCATTATACAAGCGGGGCGCACCGCCCCGTCAACAGAACCGAGCGCCCCGTCTACCAAACCCCACCCACCTGTCTGCACTGACGTAAGGCTAAACTAGCGGCTCGCAATGCAGGTGCACTAGCTAAAAAGCTAAAAGCAGCGTCTTCCTTCACGTTGAAGCCTCATGCTGAACGCACCCCCGCCACTTGAAAACTGTCGGTACAAACAGCGCACAGCTCAGATGTGCGTCTCCCCCCTAACCTAATCTATGTATACTGTAATATATGTCTATGGTGCTGGTGACACCCACAGACAGGTTCACGTGTGCAGCGCGTGTTGTCGAAGCCGTTCGACAACACGCGCTGCAGAAAGTTGTTCCGTGCTTTTCTGCAAGGAGAAAGGAGTTCAGCAGCCTCCCCCTCCTCCTCTCAGCATTAAAGTCAGCCTGTGAGAGCCTGAACGTCCTGATACATTATCTCCACGACCGGACTCTTCATCAAAGAACTCCGAGGACGGCTCTGTGCCTGTGCTTCAGCTGGTGAGTTTACGTTTGTTAACGTAACTGCAACTTAACACGTACATCGCGGTGAAATAAATTATGATCCATGTAACGCTAACTTTAAGATATTAGTGTGTAAATTTATTTTATCTACGTGGCTAGCTAAACTCAGAAGCTAACTAAAGATTGACAGTAACATAAATCTTAGCTTGTAAAAATGTGCTCATCCATTGGATCAGCTGCTTAAACAGTTCACTAATGTTCACTGTTTATGTTCATGTTCTCCTCACAGGAGGATCTGACCCTGATGTGAGGAGGACAAAAGAAAAGCAAGGTGGGGGTGCCACAGGACAGTCATAAACTTTGTTGTTGAAAGTTTGCTGCTTTTTCTACAGTGGAGCTGCAGAGTGGAGGTAAGTTAAGCTGTAAAAGATTTTGTTGACCAGTTAAGCTTTTATCTCTCAGCCTAGATAATGTTTTTTTAGCAATAATAACACAACCATGTTATTGTTGATGTTTTGTTCTCATGTCAATTAGGGAGATTATCAGAGCCCTAAACCCCAGAGAACCACAGAGAAGATTCAGGCAGAGACACAGAGGTACAGAAGTCTGCATCAACCCTACCTCATTGAATCCAGTGACCTGCTGGTGGAATGTGAGGGACAATATGTCAGTGCTATCAAACTGACAACCAAGGTATCTGTGTGTGCAACAAGCATCATCTACAGCCTCAGAGTGAACATTTTCTACTGCTGGAGACAACATCAGCCAGGAGCAGGCTTGTTTGTGTCCAGAGAAAGCAGACATGTTGATTTTTCTGAAAACTGTTAAGTGAAAAGGTCCTCAGTGTGTAGCAGTGAACATTAGACACTGAAGTGTCAATGGTTTTAGGGCTGCAACAACGAATCGATAAAATCGATAAAAATCGATGATTAAAAGCGTTGGCAATGAATTTCATTATCGATTCGTTGTTGCGCGATTATGCGTCTTTCACGGCGCTGCGGAGCCGTTTTGTTTTGTTCACGGGCAATTCATTGTCAATGCTGACTGACTGAATAAAGTTTGAAAAAAAAAACCTGCTGCGCGAGTTGAACAGAGCGAGGGGGGAGGAGAGCAGAGGCGGTGTTTTCAAAGGAAATTTAAGGAAATTTTACAAATGACCAACGCAGCGAAAACTGTTCAACCCAAGTCCTCCAAAGAGTGGGAGAACTTCACAAAGATAAAAAATGAGAAGCATGCAGCTTTGAAAATCGCCGACACGACACAGGAGAACCACGCTGATAAACGTAAACATGTCGGAGTCACGAGCTGCAGCTGATACAACTCGTCATGTGTTGCAGGTGAGTCTCTACAATTTAACACATTGTTCTGTTTCCAAGAGAGAAAACATAACGTCAGTCTCTCTGGAGTTGAAGCTGCTGCTTGTTTGTTTGTTTATCTGATTAATGACGGTGATAGAGAATGTGTGTGTTACTTTTTATTTAATTTAATTGGTACAAGCAGTGTTTAAATGTGATTTATAAATAAATCTAACACAAAGATAATAATTTAATGAGTAAGCTTCAACTTTTAATTTGCTGGCAAAGTCTGAAGACACTGCAGGTATGGCAGGATGAATTGCATTTAAACAGGAATTAAAGTAATTTATTACATCTACTCAAATGTGTGTAATTAAGTATTTTATATATGTGTGTGTGTGTGTTTAATTGCTCCTTTAGCTACTTTTGCCTGAACCTAACGCTGTAAGTGAAACAAGGCATTTCTTGAGTTGCTGTAAATTATGCTATAATACATATTTACTCTCTCATTCCAGAAAACAACAAACAACAACAGCCTTCATGATGGACAGACATCATGGACACCACAGCAGCAGCTGTCTTCACTGAAAGATCCTTAAATGATCGTCACTGACATGAGGCCTCTGTCGATGGTTGAAGATGAAGGCTTCACTACAATAATCCACACTTTTAATCCAGGTTACACTCTTCCCTCATTGACGCATTTTACAAAGTAGCTACATATTGTGCAGGTATAAAGATACATTTGTATATATTTTTGTGTACATTTGTTTTTTTAAGCTATTTGACTAACTTTTATTTTTTTATTCAATATTTTACTAACAGAATAGTCAAATAGCAACCTGTTTTTTGTGTGAATTGCTATGTCAGTCAAATGTTCAATTTTGGAATAAAGGAGTGGAAATTAAAACGTTGTGGGGTTTGTTGCCGATTCATTGATTAATCGAAAAAATAATCGGCTGATGAATCGATTATTGAAATCATCATTAGTTGCAGCCCTAAATGGTTTGTAACTGGTCTTTTGACCTGGAAATTATTTGTTTATTTTTATGTAAGAAAACTGCTTGGAATAGAAAAATACCAAAGTTAAAAAAATAAAACTCACAATTTGTACTGTAATGTGTAACGTAATTTTATTTGTTAGAATTAATAGTAATTACAAAATTGGTACTGA